GAGAGAGAGAGAGAGAGAGAGAGAGAGAGAGAGAGAGAGAGAGAGAGAGAGAGAAGTAAAGTATATATTAAAGGAACCCGTTGAGGTTCTAGCGGTTGTAGAATAGTTGAGAATTTGATAACTCGACCGTTTGAACTTGCAGTTTGTATAGCGCCATTGTTGCTGATCAATTTGTAAATGCATTATTTTTGACACCGTTTTAATTTTTCATGAATTGATTCCTTTTACCGGCACGGGTTGGTTTCTCTGTTAATGGTACAATCGATTCGAGTCAACGTGCTTGGATTGGATTTGTTCAATTGTGTCTTATGTTCTAGCTTCCATTCCACAGCAAGACCCCTTGCCTCCTTGGATTGGGGCCTCGCTCCTCTACTTCCCAGATGTGCAAAATGAGAATGAATCTTCCCCTAGAAAATTTGATAGATACACAACCATATTTTTTTGTCCTTTGTGCATGTGGGGAGTAGTGGAATGAGGCTTTGGACAGAAACCGAGTTTGTCGACGCGGGCGATGGCATACCTGTTGTATGCGCTGTCGGGCTTCTGAAGAGGAAACGCGTTCAGCTCTTAGTAGCAGCTAAAGGCAGTGATGGTTGGGACTCGGGAGAGGCAGAATAATAGTGCAGAGTCTTTTTTTTTTAAGCTCTTCCTTGTTCGGTTTGGTAATGAGGTACAATGTGATCTGTTGTGGTTCTCTCTCTCTGTGTTTTGTTTTTAATATTATTTTTATTTTTTTATAACGGAATTAACAAGACGAAGCACTACATCCAACTAAGAACGGCCTGCACCACAACCTATAGAATCAAGAAAGAGCTGATCTGTCGTGTTGTGCACTCGTTGACGACTACATATGGCGGATGCTTTCCACGCCGAATCTGTGATGTGATATCATGGTCTTCACAGAGAATGTGATGATGGTCTGGCAAGGATGTGGTCCCCACCTATGATGAATGCATTATTACATTACAGTGAGAGATTTGGGGATGATAGCCGATGTTTTGAGAACGCGACAACTGTACACACGTTGATGGCCATATCCTGACTTGTTTCCATTATCTCCGTGACACGATGCTTTTTTGTCTAGAATACTCGAACACTGACCCGTGGTTTATAGTTTGTGTTGCGCTTCATTACAGGAGGTGGTCGGTCCCATGGACCCAGAGATTTGCACAGATAATTGGAAGACTTGAACCTCAGATATTGGGGCGATTAGTTGTAAAGCTGGCGATGAATCGATGATGTGGTCCCGGCCTATGACGACTGCATTTACAGTATGGTAGGTTTGGCTTACAGTTTACACTTCATTTCTGTCTGCAATGTTGCCCTTTTCTGCAGCCAGATTCCTTTGTGGAGGCTCTCGCTCGAGCAACAGACTTAGCGAAGCAACGAGTATGAGTTCTCAAAAGCATCCTTCCTTATCATTTAGTCGATACATGTCCATGGCCTATTTTTGGTGAGTGTTAGTATTATTGTAGACAAGCTTCCGATTAATGAAGGACAGGGTTCTGGACATTTTCAGCAATTATTTGGAAAGTGTGGAGGTTGCCCCACAAGTGCATGCGTAAATGGAAGACTCTGGAGTGTGTGTGTGTGTTGGGGGGGGCGGGGGGGGGGAAGAGTTCTGGAGGGGATGGGTAAGTTCTGGAGGGGGTGGGTGTATTCCGCTCCGCCTGCATGAAAGGCCATTTCCATCGGATCTGCTGATATCCACAATATAGCGAATACCTTCTTATGGCAGTTGGAAAGCCAACCAGTCTGATTTATTTTATTTTTTTCGCATTTTGAAAGCTGACTAGTAGTGTGTGATATTGATGCATTTGAAAAGTTTCTGTCTGTGAATTGGAGCTGAGCATGTCTGAGAGCGATGATTGATTGAGTATAGATAAAGTTGAGTTGTCGGTCGGAAGGTTTATTGAAGGTTTGACGGTGAAGCATCCGAGGATCAGGTGAGACTGCATCGTCGTCGTCCACCTCGTTGAGGTTGTGGATGACACTGTTGTCCCTACGTTTGAATTTGGGCAATGATGAACCTCTGTCTGGTCTTGGTTGGTTTTGGTTGGTTTAGTTGGTTGATATGCATCGCAGCTTTTCATGTCTCCCTTCTATCCCGATTTGTCGTGGTTTCCTTGTAAATTTGCAGGTCTTGATTCGGTGGAACGTAACTTGCGAAGCACGAATGCGTGACATGCTTGTAGCATGCTGGCTTATGATGTAGCAGGAGCAGTAGTGAAGATAGATGAAGACACAGAGAGGGGCTCATGTAAATGAAAGATGACACGGTGTCGCGACAAAGCTGTGTGCGATGCAGAGGCGGATAACAGATGCGACTACCTTCTTCCCCCGAACATAACGCATATGCGTTGTACTCTAGTTTTCAAATTTGAAAAAAAAATCCAATAGAACGCACATGCCTTGTATTTGGAATTTAGGCGTATTCGAATAGAACACGTGTGTTGTATTCGAATAGATCACACCCTATGCGTTGTATTCGTTTACAATGCATATGCGTTATGTTCGGGGTAAGAAGGTATCTGGTAGGATGTGGTTGTTCGTGTCCATGGGTAAGCTGGGACAAAATAAAAAAACGGTCTGGCCTCCTACTGGCTTCACACGAATACATTGTACGGTCATTATATCTGCATGTATTTGGGGTATCTTTCCGTCTAAAAACAGCGATATAATGACCCCAGGTTGTTGTATTCGGTTGAAGACTGTAGTTGACACTCTGGGTAGTCGCTAAGTAATTGCACGTGACGGGGAGTGCTCAGGGATCTTCGAGCACAATGCGCTTGACGAATGGGCACCTGTGCAATATAAGAGAGGACTATCCTTGCCGGAACTGGTACCGAGAAAGAAAAACAGCGTAAAAGTGAAAACATGTTCTGATGCCTTCCCCTAGAATCTCTTGAAATTTTCAATTGCGCAACAAGTCCTCTCCAATTAGCATGCCTGCTAAAGCTGTCAGGTGTTCTTCAAAAATTGGCACATTGTCCAATTTGCACGTTGTTGCAACGGAGTGTCAATTGGAACGGAGGACAGTGGGGATTCCTCGTGCGAAGTCTTTCGCTGTAGGACCAGGCAATGGTCTGCGTGACCTTGCATGCAAGAAATCTCTCTCTCTCTCTCTCTCTCTCTCTCTCTCTCTCTCTCTCTCTCTCTCTCTCTCTCTCTCTCTCTCTCTCTCTCTCTCCCCCACCCCCCGCCACCCCCCTCGTCTCGGAGTCTGTATGGTGCGAGTGTGTGGAGGTGTGTGCATGTGCACAAACATTCTGTGATATTGAGGATTCCAGGCCCATGAAGGATATCAGAGATGGCACCCCTGGAGCATGATATTCAGCCTCCTGATGAGTCGGTGAAACTCCGACGAAACAGTTTGTCACAGCCCCTCGTTTGTTGTCCTGCGCGCTAGGCTCAGCACGAGCATGGTTCTCTCATCGGGGTTTGATAGATTTGTTGAACCATCAGAGGCGCATCTAAATTTAGATTGACATTTTTATATTTTGGCTAATGTCGGTGCCAGAGAAGGTCTTCCCTCCCCCCCCCCCCCCCCCCCCCCCCCCCCCCCCCCCCCCNCCCTCCGGGATTTTATGTATTCATTATCATCAATAAGCACCTGTTATGCAGAAGTTTGCTCGGGAGTAAGCTGCATCTGGATTTTATTGGATGTCTTTTGCCAAGTAGGACTTGAAGCGGGTGGTGGTGCGATTCTTCCTTCCCGATTTAATGGAAGCAGCCGCAAGCCTTCTCACTGTTTTCCGTTCGCTGCTGAAGTTATGAATGTGAAGGGAAAACATAGTTCTTTGGTTTCTGGTACACCACTTATTTGTTCATTGACCTAGGCTACTAAAGTGCCCGGGAAAATAGGGTGCCCCAGGCCGCCCCGGCTGGTAGCCCAGTCGTTGACTAAATTTAGAATGAACTCATAAATCATTTCAACAAATGGTTGCCAAGCACTTGGTACCCTTCCTACCTTCCTTACCCGAATATAACGTTCAGTGGTTATTGCGGTATTTAGACTAAAGATACCCCAAATACATACAGTTATAATGACCGTTCGTTGTAATTGTGTGAAGAAGGTAGTGTACATTGATACGTAACCTTGGGTCTTTGTCGGTCGATATGGTGTGAAATCCCTTAGGGATTGCGTTTTCCATGCTTCGAAGTCTTTGTTTGTGCCAGCAAAGCACGTGCAAAGATAAGTTTTTCGCCAGCCAAGTAGAACGTACACCCATATGGGAACGTACAGCCATACGGGATACGTTTTGCAAAGTATTTAGACTGACAGTTGGAACAAAAATGCCGCTACAATGACCATAGTATGATATGGTGTGAAATCCCTTAGGGATTGCGTTTTCCACGCGTTGAAGTCTCTGTTCATGCCAGCAGCACGTGCAAAGATATGTCTTCTCTGGCCAAGTCGAACGCATGGTCATTATGAACTGTATTTAGACTGACAGTTGGAACAAATGCCGTGACAATGACCTTTGTATATAGTTACCATACTTCCTATTTGGGGGAAGACGGGGCCGCCAGATGATTTGACAGTGTGCATGGCTCGATTTCAGAGCGCGACATGCGACTTGTACCACTTCCCAGCAGGCTGATGGCCAAGGTCCCACTGGTGACGTTCCTGCTAGAAAAGCACGACCTTGGTCTTCATAGTGGCCAGGTTCATGTTTTCCTAGCATAAGCACAGCGCTATCTGTGTGTCTGGAGAATCACTACTCTGCAGCCGTCTTCTTCTCTCTGCCATTCAGCTGTAACCTGTTGTGCTACGGCCGGTAGCCGTCTTTGCTGCACTTCCAGGTTTTCTTGTCATCGAGTTTAGCTGTGGAGCCCAGTCGCTGTGCAGTCGGCTTTGAACTGATTAATCGCCTTTAGCTTTAGTTCCTGCCTTCTTCACCCGAATACAACGTACGGTCATCACTATTGCTGTATTTAGACGGAAAGATACCCCAAATACAGCTTCTTCTTCTTCTTCTTCTTCTTCTTCTTTTTTTTTTTTTTTTTTTTTTTTTTTAAGGTCCCCTGTGCAAGGTCTCTATCCCAGTGGTATAATGACCGGACGTCGTATTTGGGTGAAGAAGGTAGTCAATGGAAATGAAGTCCGAAGCCTTTTGTCCGCTGACTCATGGCCGTGTTTCTGCTTTTTGTTCGCAGAAACATGTCTTTAGTCGAACCTCACCCTCAGATTCATGGGGAATTATGAATTCAGCGAGGCAGTAGTGAAATCAACGATCGGGATGCGGATGACAGCAATGTGTTTATAGTTTTTAACCCTCACAATGCGGCCCAGTCAGAATAGAACAGCTGGGCAAATATATTTGCCCACAACTTTCCGGGTTTGGGGCATCTGGACCTTAATGACTGGTGCCACCAGCCAAAACGAAAAAGGATCGGAGGCCATGCTGGGTTGTGTTTTTTTTCTTTGGCGCATAGCACCAGTCTGGTGGGGAAAAACAGCGTCAGACTTAGTGGTCATTTAAGACATTAATATGTGTTTTCTTCGATCATTCAGTGTACCGGGGGTGCATAAAACACAAGCGAAGAGTTAAAGAGGGGACATGAGGCCATTCATGGGGTTGTTGACGATTTTCCGCATCAGTCAGGAGGCGGCGGCGGAGAAGGGATGGGGGTCACCGATGGAGGCCATTCATGGGGTTGTAAAGATTGAGGTGATTGTTGAAGTGGCGTGTGGACGGAATGAGATATGTGCTAATCTTTAAACATTGTGTTTGCCGGAAGTTGTTGCCCTTTGATAACGTGGACCCCAGTAGGATCAAGGGACATGTGCCAAGGCTCACAAACTGACACAAGTTTTTTTTTTTTTCCTGTTTTTTTTCTTTTTATGGAAAGGCTGCCTTCTCCTCATCGGGGAACAATTTTTTTATTTTTTTTTAAGTGTGAGGAGGACTGGTAGGTAGGTTTTGTTAATTAACCACCTTTTCCCGTGGGTCAGAGAAGCAATACACTGCCAGGCTGATGAATAGTAACGGGACCTGGACGAGGAGATACGGAGGAACAAGTGCACAGGGTAAGCGATGCAAACAGACGAAAAAACATGCAAACAGACAAAAACACGCAAACAGACGAAAAAACATGCGTCTGAATTCAAAAGATGATACGTCTGAGAGTGTGGGACTCAGACTTTGTCTGCTCTTATCAGCACCACTAACACCGGCGGGGGCATGTTTTAAAAAAAAAAAAAAAAAAAAAAAAAA